TTGGTTTCTCATACAGCATCTCTGTAGAGTATGTGTATTCACTCTCTGTCCTACACGGCTTGTTGGAGCTCCTGCCCCCCCACCTGTGAGCCCACTATGCTCTGATTGGTCGGGACGTTGCGAGGCTCGTTGCGAGGCTTGTTGCTGCTGCGAGGAGCGGACAGGTTTCCGGGTCGGTGATACAGCGAGACACAGCAAAACTCATCCGGAGCACACACAAACACTCACAGCCGAAGTAAAAACGATAAGTGTGGCTTGATATTGAGGAAGAAAAAGGTTTATAACGCTGTGAGAATGGGTCTGCGGAGAGCATTTCTCCACCATCCCAACACGTCTACTACCAGCGTTCAGGGAGCTCTATGCAAGTCAATGGGACTCCCTGTTAGTTAGCCAAGGGATCCTGGTGTGTAAGGAGCTCCGCAGATTGGTCCATTTGGGCGTTCTGGGGCAGCATAGACAGGTCTTCTCTGTGTTAGAGTTTTACTCGCTACAGGGTGCGCTTTGAGGGTTTGTGACTCTGCAGACCGTTTACATGCAGAAAAAGTTACATAACACACAAGGGGACGGGTAATAACCAGAAAAGCATGACATGGGTCCTTTCAAAATGTTATTCATTTCAAATGTCTTTACTCTCTTGANTAGTCACTTTACCGGCATACTGTAACCCTGGAAATTCTATTCCCTGTCCCACAGGTCTCTAATTTCTAAAGCCTTTACAAATTATTTTTTCCTTTTCTAACTGGTGATATTATATGTAGAATAATCAGGATTTCACCTGGCTGTACAGGGTTTACACCGAACAAAATAAGAGTAGTAACAGCTCTCGACAAAATACGACCGACAGATCAGATTACGTTTGTATCTATTTAGAAATTTTGTAGTAAAAAACACGGTCGACGAGACACCGGACTTGTATGCACCACAAACAAACATTTACACGTGTTTGCGTTCTGATTTTTGGGACTAGTCGTTGCAGTAGGACACGGTTCATACACAATAGTCCACTTCCCTCAAGACCGTCGGAGAGCTCGGGGAAGGACTCAACCTACTTCACGAGTCACTTAATAACACCCGCCTGTGTGTGTGGCTACTAGAATAGATTTATATTGTTCAATGTTCCAAACTCACATTGGTTTCTCATACAGCATCTCTGTATAGTATGTGTATTCACTCTCTGTCCTACACGGCTTGTTGGAGCTCCGTCCCCGCCCCTCCCTGTGAGCCCACTGTGCTCTGATTGGTCGGGACGTTGCGAGGCTCGTTGCGAGGCTTGTTGCTGCTGCGAGGAGCGGACAGGTTTCCGGGTCGGCGATACAACTCATTCTGAGCTCACACAAACACTCACATGTAACTTAGTTACATAACACACAAGGGGACGGGTAATAACCGGAAAAGCATGACATGGGTCCTTTCAAAATGTTATTCATTTCAAATGTCTTTACTTTCTTGAGTTTGGGTTTTCTCTGGTTTTGCTTGTGTACATTTCTTGTGGATTTGAACGTTGAATATTATGTTTACACCTTCAAGTAAAACAGCCGCTGAGGCACCAGTTAGCGCATCTTACCAGGGTTCAATGATCCAGTTAAGAGTCCTTTCTTTGCATTGATGCAATGAAATGCTTTTATTACAATTATTACTGCCTTTCTCAGTGGTACAAACACATTGTTTTCTTTTTACACGTGCCATTTCTCTAATAAAGATATTATTGGGATGTATACAATTGGGAATCGTTTTTGTTGCAGGTAAAGTCTGTGGTGTTGTTTGTTGGATTTGTTTGGACATCAGGGAGCAGTTTGTAATCGGAAAATGTCGCGTAAGAATATAAAGACATCAGCGTGTGATCTCTACCTGTTGACATGATGGAGGGAACCCCAAAGTAAGAGAAAGCTCCGTTCTCAAACTTCAGCGCCTCCTTTCCGAACTCCACCTCCACTCGACCCTGACGGTGAAACACAGAACGTGTGCTGATCAGAATCTGTCTGAGAAACAACAGCAACATGTTTTTACAGCAGAATTAAAGTCACCTGCAGCACGAGGATGAAGTGGTCCACCGGTTTGTTGCGCTGGAACAGGAAGTGATGCGGCGATCGTTTGTTCTTCTCGTTGAACTTGAGTTCCTGAACGACGCTCGGGTGTTTGATCAGCCTCAGCAGGATCTTCTCTGAGATGTGAGCGGGTTTGAAGGGCTCCACCTCTACAGGAGGGAGGAGAGGAATGCTTTTATGGCACAATATTGTCTGTCCTAACTTCCTTAAAACAAATGTTCAAATCCTACAGAAATGTGACAGAAACAGAAATTGTAAACATTTTTGCAAGATCAGCAACTTTTTAAATCTTTAACCAGGTCTCTGTTATACTGATATGGAAAATTAAGATTGCATATAGTTAATATATGAATATGCATTTCCATCAGGATTTTACGACATCTTCAAATGTAACTCCCGAATGATTCAAATAATACTTGTGATCGGTTTGTAATCCCTTAAAGAACCAAGACTATGAGATTTAATAAAACCCTCAATTCAAATGTCTCTCTATGAGGAAGTGTTTATCCACAAAGTAATCACTGACACAGAGCAGCGATCTGATTGGCTGTTACCTGTGGACAGGAAGCACAGAGCAGCGATCTGATTGGCTGTTACCTGTGGACAGGAAGCACAGAGCAGCGATCTGATTGGCTGTTACCTGTGGACAGGAAGCGGTGCGTGGCCATGAGCAGCTGAGGAGAAATGTTCACTTTCATCTCGTTTTCCGACAGCTTGAAGATGGAGAAGTCCTGCTGCTTCCTCTCATGGTGAGAAACACGGCGCTTAGTACGGTTATCAGCTGACAGAACACACACACACACACACACACACACACACACACACACACACACACACACACACACACACACACACACATTTATATTGCATATGCAAAACTTTTATCAGGAAGGGGGGCTGACATTGTGGGGCATATAAAAGGTTGTGAATAGGTGGTGTGTGTGTGTGTCCTGTGTGTATGTGTGTGTGTGCTGTGTGTGTGTGTGTGTGTGTGTGTGTGTGTGTGTGTGTGTGTGTGTGTGTGTGTGTGTGTGTGTGTGTGTGTGTGTGTGTGTGTGTGTGTGTGTGTGTGTGTGTGTGTGTGTGTGTGTGTGTGTGTGTGTGTGTGTGTGTGTGTGTGTGTGTGTGTGTGTGTGTGTGTGTGTGTGGTGTGTGTGTGTGTGTGTGTGTGTGTGTGTGTGTGTGTGTGTGTGTGTGTGTGTGTGTGTGTGTGCCTGTGTGTGTGTGTCTGTGTGTGCCTGTGTGTGTCTGTGTGTGTATGGGGGGGGGGGGGGGGTGTGTGTGTGTGTGTGTGTGTGTGTGTGTGTGTGTGTGTGTGTGTGTGTGTGTGTGTGCGCGTGTGTGTGTGTGTCTGTGTGTGCGTGTGTGTGTGTGTGTGTGTGTGTGTGTGTGTGTTTCTGTGTGTGTATCTGTGTGTGTGTGTGTGTGTGTGTGTGTGTGTGTACATACTGTAGAGGTCAGTCTCGTCCAGGATCTCTGACTTGATGATCT